CTGCGGGCAGCCCCTGGGCGACGTGCCCAGAGTGCCAGGCCGCGGGGCTCCCCGCTTTGCCCCGTGCCGTCCTGGACCCTGTTCCCCTCCCAGGCGGCACCGTGCTACTCCCTGCAGCCTCATGCCTGGCTCCAGCCACCGTCTGGCTCTGGGCCCTTGAGGGTCAGGGTCCAACCCTGCACGCAGGCACGCACATGCACATACAGGCATGCACACGTACCCCCCCCCACACACGCATGAGCAGACAGGCATGCTGACATACATTCATGTGCACACACTCACACACACACACACACACGCATGCACACATGCACACGCGTGCAGACACATGTTCATGTGCACACACACACACACACACACACAGACACACATGCAGCAGCAGCCCAGGGAGACCCATGTCCCCCGCTCCCAGGCCCCTGCCCCGGGTGCCCTACCTGCCAGTGGTGGCGTGGGCACGGGCAGCTCAGGCAGGTGCACGCGGTCCTGTCCTGCAGCGGCAGTGGCTGCGCTCGTCTGTGCTGAGCCTGGCAGCAGGACAGGGAAGAGCCCAGCTCAATTAAACCCTCCCTTCCCCACCCCACGGGGCTGATACGAGCTGGCCCAGCCCTGCATTGGGAGTACACATCGCTGCCTCCCCCGCCCTGCGCCGCCGCCAGCGTGCATGTGCCTGCTGCCCTCTGCCCCCGCGCGGCACCCAGCATGGCTGGAGGGCAGGGGCTGGGGGCAGACCCAGGACCCGTGGTGGAGGTGGGTGTGGGGCAGCTTGGGGGGGGGTCCCCAGCTCTGCTGCAGGCCCAGCAGGCACGGGGTCTGGGACAGGCGGCACCTCTGGCGGTGCCCAAACTTGTGTGCCAGGAGTCAACCCCGCCGGTGCCCTGTGCCCCCTGCATCCCCCTGGACCCTGCTCCCAGCCCCTGGTGCACTGTTGCCCCGGCCCCCTCACCGGCGGCCAGGCCCCGCCGGGCTGGAAACCAGGAGCCCCCCCCTGCGCCCAAGCCTGCCCCAGCACCAGGAGCCACGGGGCCCATATCCCAGGCACCAGCCTCAGCGCCCACCTCGGCGCCACGAGCCCATCCCCGCTCAGGTCCTGGACGGGGCCCCAGCCAGCGTGGCCCCCTCGCTCCCTTGCCCTCCTGCTGCCACTTCCGGCCGGCCACGGCTATGTCCTCAGCCCAGGGCCGGGGAGCCCGAGCGCGGCAGGAGTGGAGCAAGCAGCACCTGGCACCGGGCAGCGAGGGGTGCGGGGGGGGGCACGTGTGTACCCCCTGTGCATGGCGTGTTGTGTGTTGCGCGTTGCCTGGGGCGGTGCCAGTCTCCAGGCAGCTCTGCGGCGCGGGGGAGTGTGCAGGCCCCTGCGCAGCACCTTGCACAGGGGCCAAGAGCTGAGCTCATCCCCTGGAATCTGGCAGGTGGAGCCCGGCGAGTTGGGGCACAGGGCCCGGGTGGGTGGGAGCGACCGAGGGCCAAGGCCGGGAGGAAACGGAGTCCAGGCAGCCGGGGCTGGGAACCGGCGTCGCAGCCCAAGCGAATAAGAAGCCAGCACATGCACCCACATACACACACGCCATCCACTGACACGCACACACGCATGCATGGACATACATACGTGCATGCATGCACACACGCATATACACACCACTTAGTGACATGTGTGTGCACACATACACACATGCCTGTGCCCCCATACATGCATGGATACGCACCCATACACACACCACCCAGTCACACACACACACACACACACACACACGCATGCATATCACATACACCCCCCCCGTGACAAACATATGCACACACATAGTCTCCACGCACGCACGCATGCACGCACACACACCTTGGAGACATCCCAGACATGCACACACATACACACACGCACGTGTGCGCGCTCTGCAGTACAGCCCATGGGCATGCTGCAGTAGCCCACCTGGCCCCCCTGCCCGCCCCCAGGGGCTAGAGGAGCATGACCAGAGCCGCCCAGCGCCATGGGGAGGCCACCCAGGCAGAACTGGCCCAGACTGGGGGCACCCCGGTGCCACTGCCCCACACAGCCCCCCACACAGCCCAGCGGGGCCAGGGCACGGCGCTGGCAGGTGCAGGGGCCACAGTCCTGTCAAGGTTGCAGGGCGGGGAGGGGGCTGGTGCAACGCTGCCCGCAAGCCACAGACCTGCGCGGGAGGTGGGGAAACCTGGCATTCGGGGCATGCTGTGGGGCAGGCCGGGCCCGGGAACCGGGGGCTCTGACACGGGATGGGGCGTCGCAGTCACCCAGGCGGCACCACATTGCTCGTGCCCCGTCCACACTGCGGGCCTGCGGCCAGCGGTGCCTGACCCATGTGTGCTCCCAGGCCGGCAGGCCCAGGCACTGCCCCGGCTTCCTGGAATCGCAGGCGTTGCACGGTGTCACCGGCCGCGCCGGCCGCAGGCCCGGGCAGGCCCAGAGCCGGCTGGCGGGGTGGGCTGTGCACGCCCGGTCCCTGCCGGAGCCCACAGCGCTGCACACGGTGCGGGTCCCATGGCAGCTCCCCACCCCGGGGCTTGGGATGCTCTTCCCCCCAACGTCTGTCCCCAGCCCCGGCAGTGGGGGCTCTGCAGGAA